AAATGAAACACATACAAACTCATATACAGGTCCTAGACTATTTGTTTTGAATGTAAATGGAATGAAGCTTTGTTTCTGCCCGAGATTTTTTGGTCAGCGACGACAAATTTCCCACCTGTTGCAAATTATAGGGGGATTCAACTGTTCCCCCAGCCGTTCCGCACGTTGTAACCAATAATCTATTGGCGTTGTAATGCCATTGTATGCAATAAAGTATTGGGTTGTAATGGGTCTACGATTAATCCAAACGTGAATCCTAATCCAAACCCTAATGCTAACCCTAACCCTAACCTAATCCCTAACCTCTAACCCCTATAAATGTTTTCCATGTTTTTAAATGTTTTTCTATAAATGTTTTCCTAACACTGTAGGATTTTGGTCATCTCACTCGATATAATTAATTTTTGAAGGGATTTGTGGGTGAAAATTTCTATCAAGATGGCAAATCCATAAATCCTTTCCTAGCACTATCGTGTATTTTATTTAAAACGTTGGAACACTCGTCAAACCTTTATTTTGTTAATGTAGACCTTGAAATGTTCCCTGTATATAATATATAAAAAATTTGTGACTGCCAACTCTCATCAACTCTATTTTTATCTATATCTCATCAACTCTCATCAACTCTCATCAAATCCTTTTCCGACATGCAGTTGCAGACGTATTCTAGCAGTAAGGCCATGCAGCGTGCTCATTGCATCTGCTAAATGCCTTTAAGATCCATATGTATATATATACTTATATATAATATTTGTAACTTTTGATATGTATTTTTATCAAATGAATAAAGACTTACTATTATTTTACTATTATTAAATGTTTTGCTTGGCTGTCTGATTAATTATAGAATATCAACCTCGTCCCCAGGGCCTTTGTGCTGACTCCTCGTAAACCATAATTCAACGTTGAATCTGCATTGAAACAACGATTACTTCACAAGTTGACGTCGTATATAATCAACCATGAATGAACGTTGATTCGACGTCTGTGAGCTGCTGGACGAGGTTGTATAGAATATAAAAGGCCATAATTACATAATACACAACTTAATAAGATGGCTCGGTATACAGTAGTAATCTTTACAAAATCCCGAAAATACAAGAATCGCGAAAACAAAACTTTAGGCCATGATAATTAAAAGGACAAACCGGCCCGCGTGATCATTCGTTTCCACGGGAATATAATATAAACTGAAAAATATGGCCTCACGTGGTAATCGAGTTGATTATGTCATCGTGCGTGCTGTATATATAGCTTGTTCCAGGTCAATTATACTGACAGCATTAAAATGAATTCTGTTATGATAAAAAAATGTTATCGAAGAAAAATTATAATGAAATTTTTGCGTATTTGTATTTCGGCGCCTGCTGTTATAGTCCCCATTTTCTAAGTAAAATGTGCACGAAATTCGTACGCATGTGTTACAATAGCAACGAGATATGATATATTTGAGCATCCCGATATCTGCTGCATAAAACCCAAAAATACGATTTGGAAATTCAAACTCTGACTTGTAAACCTGAATTACTTGAAAAACTGTGTTGAGCCTGAATTTAAGGAATTCCGCAGCCGAATTCCACTATACCGTGTATGTTAACAAAGGACGACACTGACGTTTGTTTTGAATGTTTTAACTTTACAGAGTACGTAACAAAGATAAATTGGACAAGATGCTGCCAAAATATATAATAATCAATATATAATAATCTTCATCCAGATAGTAATTTCTTTGAGCTTGCATGCGGAAATAAAGAGGGAGGGAAAGGGGGGGGGGGGTATGTGGGTCACGTTTCACAATTCACAACGAAAAAAAGCCGTTTCATGATTCATGTGTCTTAAAAAAGCAATTTCACGGAAAACAATATTCTAATAAAATAATATAATAATAATAGGTTTATTAAGAGTATGTTTAATGCATGGTACACTATCTACGCTTTAAGTTCTCTTACTTCTCTACCTGTCAGTTAAAAACTACATCATATTAACTTACTAGAAATACACGGATGCAGTAACCCCTCGCCAATATTTTCCAAACATTAAATTAACATGAAGTATTCAGAAATGACCAACACTGAACGCATTCTTAAATTTTTAATTTTTTTATATTTTTTGTACAAAACTGCAAAATAGTTGAAAGATTCGTACTTTTAACTATACAACAATAAATTTCCGAAATATATACTGTAGGTATATTATTTTGCATTTTGTGAGCTTTGATTTAATGTAAAATTTTACTTGAAACACTTCGTAAAATGTTTTGAAATGTTCATTCAACTAAACTACATTTTGCCGATAAACTGTTTTTACTTAATTAATAAAACATAATAAGTTTAATTATACAAATAAAACAAATTGTTAGGTAATTTCAGTTCAGTCTTCAAATCAATTTGTTCACCTTTACATTTTAAGATTTTTTTCTCAAATTAAACGGTAATTTATGAAACTTAGAGCTTCGTTGAAAAGGTAAACAGTTCATGTTTTTAGGCAAAAAGTTAAAGCAACAAAATTAGTAAACATTAAATATTCAAAGCAAACTTGCCGTATGTTTCACGATTTGCCATAGTAAATAAATTCTTCTCATTTTTTCAAACAAAATTGCTTCAAGCTTGTTATATATGAAGGGGGGGGGGGGGTGAATACGTTTTCGGATCGTCGGAAATCGCAGAAAAAATTGTTCGGATTTCGGATCTGGTAATTATTTTACACGGATTTTCGGATCTTATTAATACAGCGAATTGCGGATTTATCTGATATTTTGGCTCGGATTGTGGATTTAGCTTGCAATTTAGTTCGGATCCTGGATTGTGACTTCATCGTAGAGCTTTTAGCGGATCCAAATTTAGACATAACCATTGTCGGATCGCGAATTTTGCTTCAAATTTGGGCGGATTTGTATCCCCCTATTCACCCCCCCCCCCCCCCCCCCCCCCCCCCCCCCCCCC